TTTTCATAAATATTTTTACTCGGTGTTAAAATTTCTGTTTCAATGCATTTGTACCTTGGAATAATGGTAATGATCGATTACTAATAATAATAGGAATAAAAAACATCAAAAATGAGTCGGATATGCGTACAATTAAGATGGTAATGTTGAGGTCAGCTCGTAGCTTAAGGATCGTGCTGGATATTTCAAGATTTACTGCCCGTTTTATCCTAGAAAGCTAATAGATAATGACGTAAAGTCATAAAAATAAATCCAGAACGGGATAGGTCAATATCTGCATTATGAGATCTGGGATCTTCTATGTGCCGTGTCTTTCAGGATTTTTGCGATCATGGCTCACCACAATATCCTTTCTCTTGTATCTCTTAATAAACTTTGTTTTGTTATCTCTTCTAAATCTTGATCCGCCATCCATTTAGAACCTCATTTCTGTTGCTTCAAGTCCCTTCTTCTGTGAGAAGGTTGTCCTGCATTCATTGCCATATAGAAGGACTAATATTACATAATAGTTCAGTACTCTTTTTTTTTCTTTTTTGTTTCTAACTAATTTTTTTCTGTTTCTTAATACTGTGCTTAGCTTTTTTTATAAGGCATCTTATGCTATCCCAATGCACTTTCGGAAGTGTAGTACTTTCTGTCCTCTATTAAAACACTTCCCAGATATTTAAATTCATGTACTTTTGATTTTTATCTCCGATTTGTAATTTATGTGTATTACTCTTCCTTTTAAAAAAACAATCATGCGTTCTATCTCCTTGAAATTGATGTTTAGTCGTTTCTTCTCACTTTCCTTCATTATTTTCTACAGGAATTTTTATAGTTTCCTGTCACCGTCTGCTATCAACACAGTGTTATCTTCATATCTTATATTGTTAAGATTGTGAAAATGATGAATCTTGTTAGGACTTCTAATTCTCTCGGAATCACTTCCTTGTATTGTTTGACTAAGTCTGGTGAGAATGCACATCCTAGGCTTGCATCCATTTTGTTTTTGTATATCACTACGCGATAAAAACAGCTGCAAACTGGCATGAAGATCATCCTGAATTTGTCGTTAAGTGAGCAGATGTTACCATCCTCTGCTATTTTTCCATCAACCCAGATTGAACAATAGAAGCAAGTGGCCCAGACATTATTACTAAAGACAGAAAAGAAAAGGTTTGCAGTCTAATTGACTACCAAGTTGACAAAAATGTCTCTGAGAAGGTTTTTGAAAAACTAAGTGAATACAAAGTCCTGAAGATGGAAATAAATGTCACTTAAAAACTAAAACTGATCCTATTGTGCTTAGAAAAAATTTGCAGTGTGAGATAGGCAAGAAGTAAGGCGTGTAGCAACATCAGCACAGCAAAGGGCACTCCTTTAAAGGCAAGGAAGGGCAAAAATATTTTAAGTCAAGTGATAACGATTGCTCTGAGTCGTACGATTTTTGAATCAAGCACAGGCAACGCTGCTAGTTATATATATATAATCGGAAAGTGTCGGAGAACGAGCAGTAAGATTACAGCGTTCAAAACATTAATTTAAAAACAGTGCTCAATACACAAAGTAACCGTAAATATTTATCTTATGCAGTGTTACATTAGCACATGGACATATCCACTACAAAATTGTACATTTTTGTTTCAACGTCAAAAAAGGGAAAATCTTTTTAGCCGTGATTACCCACCTGATGAGACGTCTAAAAAAGGTTTTTCCTTTTCTGACGTTGATCTAATAGAATAACCCGGCACCCCCATGAACGATTAGACTCTAGGTAGTAAGTACATACAAAGTCAACTGTCTACGAGAGACTGGAGGACGGGAAACGACAGAGAGAGAGTAAGAAGACACAAGCACGTGCGTCCTTCCAATTAGTGGCACTCACTACTAGATTGACCTGTGTGTATAACTGTACCCTATTTCATATTGTACTTGTTGCGTACAATAAACCTTTCTTCTAGTATCTACCTGGTGTTATTTATTTATTCCCTTAGCACAGAATATAACAGTTCCGACGAGGATTGTCGGAACATAACAAACAAATATTTACAATTTTGTAGTGGATATGTGCATGTTCTAATGTAACACTGCATATAATATATATATATATATATATATATATATATATATATATATATATATAAATAACGCTAGTTATTAGTAATAAAACATTGCTAGAGATAAAATTTATACTAAGAATATATATAAAGAAAACAATTCAGTAAGACTAAAATGTTCAGAAAGTGCTTTTAGTTGATCGATAGTAAATTTGCATCCAGATTCTTACAACGTACGTTTAACCAATCGTGGCAGATCTTTTATCACAATGTGAGACATTTAATAACAAGGATGGTGAAAACAAAAAGAAAGATACAAATAATCTAAGTGAAATTGACTAGATTATATACCTAAAAGGCAATTCAGCATTCTCACCGTCTCTCGTCCGTGCTCATGTGTAGCCCCCATCAACGTAAACAAACATAGTCCGATGAAGTCCTAAAGTACAAAACTCATCACAGGAAAACCTTTTTCATCTTTTCATACGTCTTTCCTCCAAAACTGTTCTTGATACATATATATATATATATATATATATATATGCGCATCTGCTCTAGAAATTCAAAACGTTCGGAGGGTCGTTTTGGGACCTTGTGGCTCGTTCTGCACCAGGTCTCTGTATTCGGCCCCTCAAAAAATGTGAATAGTTCTGCACAAAACCTTTACCACTATAATTAAATCATATGTGCTTGCTGTCGGTTCCTAGGATCTGAGTTGCTGACCCTCATACGTTGAATACGATGAGTCCACCATATATAATAGGAGGCAAATCGATGACTCAGTTTTTAGTGAGGTCATGATAGCTTGATCACCTCTTGCCGCAAGTAAATAGGTGCTGCATGAGAAAGCGACAACTGAACTTAATGAATAACAGGGCACAAGGCAGACCGAAGACCAAGGAGTTAACTTTGGAAATATATAATTTCTTTGACTGTATGTGCGCAATTTTTATCGCGAGAAAAATGATTTGCTTGCCAATTTCAAATTCAGGCCGAGGCTGTTGTGTTCATTTTTGAACAAATACCCTTGAGAAAATATGGATCCATTTCTTCTCCCTCCAGCTATGGATTAAATAACAGGACAGGCTTAAACTTGGGTAGTAAGCAGTCGAGGAGAAGGAAAATTTTGAATTCAAACCTGAGTAGGGCTATTTGGAGGTTCGCGGCACACTATGAATCATTTCTCTGTTAGCAATCCTGTCGAAAAATAAACTGGTTCTAAACAAGCTGTCTGTATTATATGTGTGCGTAGTCTTATAAAACTAATATTCTACCCCTGTAGGTCAAAATCGACTGGAAAGTCCATCACCATATATATGTGTGCGCGCGTTTTGTAACTTATTTGAGTATATCAAATACATCATCTATACGTAAATATACATGTGTGGTCACAATATATATATATATATATATATATATATATATATATATGCTTATTGCTTTAAGACTGTCTTTATCCTCGGTGACAACATTCAATGTATGTAACTTTTCTTTCCCCAACAGACAAGGGTGTTTAGAAACACACACAAATCGTTGCCGACTTTCCTCTTTCACTTTTTTTTTTTTTTTTTTTTTTTTTTTTTTTTCAGACATTGTCAAAGAAACTTTTCTATTTAGTGCTTTAAGTAAAATTTGTTCTTAAGATTCATCATTTGCTTCTCGATTGTAACAAAAGAATTACTGTTTATTATTCCATTATTGTTTCCAATCAGTGATAAATTTCGCATGTTGCCCATAAGACTAAGAGGCTTATATATATATATATATATATATATATATATATATATATATATATATATATATACTGCTATTGTTGCGTAATATGAATTTTTAATTGCCGATGGCTGTTCAACAACCTTTAAAATATTTTATTGTCTGTAATATTCATTTACATTTTTGTTATTCGGTTTTTGCGAAATTTTATTTAAAATATTTGTCTTTGACTGAATCTCATATCAACATTTATGTTATAATTATGGAGTTTATAATGGTTACAGTGTTTTCTTTCACTAACACATTATCCGCATTCGTAGTTGGATATAATGTAAGGAATTCACTTTTATTTCCTTTAAATTATATTTAAATTATATTTTTTCCTCTTGATTCTATTTAATTTTCTTATTGTTGTTTCTTTTTTTTTTTTTCTTTTTTTTGAACTTGTATTTTGTGTTTGGTCTTTCTGTGCTTGTATTTTGTGTTTGGTCTTTCTGTGCTTTTTTGTGTTTTGGTCTTTCTGGTTGTATTTTGGTTTGGTTTTCCAGGCTTGTTTTAGGTTTAGTCTTTCTGTGCTTGTATTTTGGTTTGTTTTCAGTTTTCTTTTAGTTTGTATTTTGGGTTTGGTCTTTCTGTGCTTGTATTTTGTGTTTGGTCTTTCTGTGCTTGTATTTTGGGTTTGGTCTTTCCGGGCTTGTATTTTGGGTTTGGTCTTTCCGGGCTTGTATTTTGGGTTTGGTCTTTCTGTGCTTGTATTTTGGGTTTGGTCTTGTTGTCCTGGTAATTTGGTCTTGTTGTCCTGGTAATTTGGTCTTGTTGTCCTGGTAATTTGGTCTTGTTGTCCTGGTAATTTTTTTGTTTTTTTTTGTTTTTTTTTGTTTTTTTTTTGTTTTTTTTAAGTCGCCCGAAGGCATGGAATTAGACTAACCTTTGAACCACTTGAGGAAAACTTCATAGTTGAAAACTTAAGTTCTTTTCTTTCTTCAACTACTCAACTATTTCAACCGCGAGTTCATCTTTCACTCATCTCAAATATCTTAAATAGTTTTTCCTCCACATTTAAAATTACTTGATTTTCCTTCAAAAATCACTTTCAGTTCCTTTGTTTGTTTGTTTTTTTTTCCTTTACCTCCCACGTTATAATTTTTATTCTCTTTCTTCGCCTCTATTTAAACAAACATGTTTTCGTTTTTTTTCTATATTTTACCTTTTTTCTTTTCCTTCATCTTCGTATTCTCTATCACTTAGTGTCATTTCCACTTCGTCTATCTTTACAATCCTTTTGCTATAGCTTCCTTCTTTCTTTCTTTTTTCTCCCTCTCATTTCATGTTTTGTTCTGTTTTTCTCCCTCCACCTTTCTATGTCTCGTTTCCTCCTCTTGTTTTCCTCTGCTTCTTTTTGTTAGTGATTCGTTTACTTACTTATTTTGTTTCACCTCGTCGTCCTCCGCAACATATGAATCATTGCCATCTTTACTCTCCTGACATTCATAGAATTCCTTTAGCATTCGATGACCCATTCAAATTATCTTCATTCCCGTAGGTTTTGCCATATTCTGTTCTAACTTCATTCAATTTTCTCTCATGTTATTTAATATTTTATCTATGTCGTCTTTTATTCTTGCAAATCTCTATCGTTTTCCCCAAGTAACTACTACCAGTACCATCATCTTACACTCCTTCCCACATAATTTTGCACTGTATACTAGAATCTATTATTCAAGACGTTTTCAGATCTAACAACAACTGAATATGTCCTGGTAACCTAAAAGTATTTTTCTATAATTTATACTGTATATAAAATAACAGTATTCAACAATTTTTTTTTTCTATTTTCAGATATTATCTACGAATTTCTTTTTTTTTTTTTTTTTTTCATTCCTATTCACTTTCTTATTCATTTCAAAGTTCAGTCCCAGTTTTGAATACACGAAAGTAATAATAAAAAAGCAGAAAATAAATTCTTCCTTAAAAGAATTTTAAAATATTTTCTATCTAACATTAGCTTTTTTTTTTTTTTTTTGAAGAAATAAACGAATTGCATTAAATGAAATCCGAGTGCCAAATACGGTCGGCAAGTCTTTCTAGTCTATGAAATGCTAAATATTCTGGAATTCATTTTTTGTATCATTTTACTCTTAACCCATTGCATTAGGACTTGTTTAAACTCTGATATTTTTCCTAAATATATTTACGTAGCAGGGATTGGCTCAAAAGAAAGTTGCTGTTAATAACTAATTATTTAATTACAATTTTCTGTCAGCAAATATAGCATGTGAAGATGTCACACAATGGAGTATTGTTATGAAACTGATCTCCAAGAATACAACCACTAGCTAGTGAGTACGATTTTCACTGGGTGCCTGTACTCTTGGTCCGACCAAATGAATACATTCACTTTTAATCAGATCCTTAGCCGAGTAATGTGGTTACTTAGAAAATGAGAAAAAAATCTTGGTTTATTCCCTCTCTAAGTGTCTATTTAATACATTAGTATATCAGGGATATGCCAACACATTAACACAATGGAATGAATGAATAGAATAATCAAATTAATTCCCTGAATTAATAATGCCGGAAAACCTTTTTTTATCATTTCACCTCAAGCAAGGTGGGAATGCCTCTAGTACACATGGGGTTAAAGAAAGTGAAAGAAAGGACGAGGAAATAGAAGATGGCAATTGACGTTGCATTTAATTTTTTTAAGATTATAGTTATCAGGAAAACAAGTAAACGGAAGGTAGTTCCAGAGTCGGAACATGCGAGGAAATAGTGTCGGAGTAGAAGTGGCGGTCGCATTTAACTATTTCATGTGGGACCTAGATGCCAGTCTAGTAGAACGCTTAAATTCATGTAGTCGGGCACCAGGGGAAAAAAAAGCTCATCAGAGCAGTTGCCATGAAATTATTTGTAGAAAAAACAGAGAGAAGCTACATCACGTCGGTGAGAAAGTGACTGAACTCAAGCCAGGATCTATTACATTAATCCTTCTTTGGATTTTGTCAAGAATTTCGAGATGAACAACAAGGGCACCAGGCCAGATATGGCAATAATATTCAATGTACAGACGAATGGTAAATTTGTAAATGTTCAAGATGGACTTTGACGCAAAAGGTTTTTTATATCCAGCACTAGAATATACAAATACGTTTTGTATACTATGTTATACACAACGAGATGTGTGTTTTTAATATACTCGACTCTCCCGTCGAATTCGACGTATGAGGGTCAAGCAGATCAGTTCCTAGGAAACTGACAGCCTGACAACAGCACATGCGATTTTATTATAGTGGTGAAGGTTTCGTGCAGGACCATCCACACTTTTTGAAGGACTGAATACAGAGACCTGGTGCACTACGTGCCACAAGGTCTCCAAACGACCCTCGGCAGGTTTTGAATTCAGAGTTGTCGTCCTCCTAGACCAGTTGCCATCCAAGTCTATAGAGCCCAGTCTGTCCTGCTATAGCTAGAGGGAGAAGAAGAGGGTTCACATTCAGTGAATGTAATGAATTCGACCTCGGCCGGAACCCAAAATTCGAAATCCAAGCCGCTATCCATTATTCCACCGTTTTTAATATATATACATATCACAATTTGTTCCATGAAAAAATTTGTTCCATATATCACAATTTGTTGACATGAAAAACGCAAGCCGTATATGAAAGGAAGCATATGGATGTCTTGTAATGTTTCCTAAGGAGACAGGGCTAGCCCCGGTGTTATCTTTCATGTTCCTTATTTAGGAGACATGACTTCTACTCGTGTCATAACCGTCACTGACTACTATCTGTTCCCATTGATCACGTGGTATGCCCTCCTTAAACCTGTCTCTTAATATGTTTATGTAAAACGTAAACGGAACTAATTATGGCTATATATTTTTTACTCACCCGATTACTTAGACTGATAGCGAACAGATCTATGTAATTGTCTACGTAATTTCTTTAAACACATCTACTGTAACTTTTTTTATTGGAATTCTTATGCCATTCATTTATTATTTACTTTAAAAAATTGTTATATAAGACTACCTATGTTTTATTTATGTAAATTAGATTCTATAAAGAATGGCGCTAATGTTCGCCTTTGTTAGTGACTTTGTTTCAGTTTTTTTTTTAATCTCCGTGTGTCATTGTTGTGATGTAATGAGAAAACAACTTTACAAATCAATGTAAACGTACTGATAATTACCGTAGCTATTTACATCTCCTTAAATAAAACCGGAGAATAGATAAACATGTGCATCAGAGGAAATACGCAGTATACCACAAGGCGTACATGTGCGTTATGGGGGGAAATAAATGTTTAAAATTGGTGCTTATATGAGCATCCATATTTTTAATGAAAATAAATTTCTCTGAATCTATGCTTACAATGTTCTGACCAAATCTTTCTCAACCATTAAACAAAATCTTTTTTTTTTTTTTTTGTTTTCTTACTTCATATTGTTTACTTATTTCATTTGGTTAACAAATTGTATATGGAGTTGCTGTAGATTATTGTTATTGTACCTATTCTATTGTAATGAACTCTCCCACAGATAAGTAGTAGTAGCAGTGGCCCGTGGGGCTCAGTGGTGTTGAGCGGTCTTTGACTGCGCACGCCTCCTGTCGAACTCTCTGCGTTAGCAGAGAGGAACCCGGACGAGGCTTTGCCGAAGGGCAAAGTTTCGTCCGGGGAGGTAGACAGGGCCTGAACCCGTCTAGGCGGGTTCAAAGGCTATATTTTTGGCCAAGCCTACGGACTCGGGAATACCCACATTAAAACCGGCCTTGTGCCATATTCGGTCCTCGTGGGTGGAGCGATAAATACTCAGTGGTGTTGAGCGAGTCAGACGATATTGGACATTGAAATATCAACCATCACAACTAGATTGCTGCGTCATTAACTCTTATTTTCAAGTTCCTAACGTTTTGTACGTCGGACCCTTTTAGGACCGACTTATTGAAATACAAGCCTCCACTGTGAAAACTACAACAATTATAATGAATGAGGTGTGAGACAAAAATCAAAGAGGAAGTGGTAAGTAGTTTTACAGTTATGGGCATGAAAAGAATAGATGACAATTGGCCCGTCACTTGAAGAGGTTAAGATTATAGTGTTCAGAAGATCATCCACGGGAGAGTCTATTCTAGAAAGTTTAAGTCTTGTGGGGAAGAGGGTCGTCTCAGTGGAACTTTCCCTTTATATTAGGAATAGAGAGGAAATGTGGATGATTCATCTCAGTTAAAGTAGCATAGCGTGTCCTAGTTTTAAAGGTCTGGTGGAACTAAAGAATGGAGCTCATCTGAACATTTGCACTGGAAATACCAATAAGTTTGCGATGCTGTATCTGTTGGGAAAGAGGTGGAAGAGTGGAGAATGTCTTCGTCAACAAGATTGTGTTAACGATTTTGAACTCTATCAAGGCTGGAATGCTCTCTTCACACTTGTATCATTGAGGAAGGAATCGATTTTCTTTCACTCTAAGCCATCACCATTTATATTGAAAAATATCCCATTACTGGCATTTTGCGTTGGTTAAAGGAGAAAGCAAATTTAAATGTGGAGCTTGAGCACACCAAACTCTATCTTTACCCTTATAGACAGTAAAAAAAAAACATGTTACTCCAATTGTCAGCTTTGGCAATTTCAAATCGTGTATTCATACGCTTGTCGGTTTACAGACATATCACATTGAAACGCTGTTTCTCGTATGGTCACCGAAGCAACGTCGAGCCTGGATGGTACCTAGATAGATGACCATTGGATAATATCAGGTGCTGTAAGCTAGAACGTGTGGGTGGTGTAACGGATAACTGTTCGGAACTGGGAATCGGAAAGCAGTTTCAATCCCAGTCAGCAGGTGAATTCATCCATCTTACCAAGAATACTTACGCATAAATATCGTTACCCTTAATAAGTAGAAAAATACATATTTTATAAAATGCCTACAAAATATAACGTATTATAGATTACGCATAAAACATATATATATATATATATATATATATATATATATATATATATATATATATATATATATATATATATATATATGATCATGATCACCCTAGCAACGTCGAGGTTGGTGTGTAATCGTTTGGAAATACCAGTTGCTGTAAACTTGGATGTTTGGATGGTGTAATAGATAATGACTTGGAATTGGAAATCGAAAAGCAGAGTTTTACTCAAGATATCGAAGTGCGACCTGATAAGTGACAATAAGTCATTACAAATAATGGTGAGTATAGAACTGAATAAAATGTAATTGTAGTCTAGTTTTTGAAAAATAAAGTTGACAAACAGAAACGGAATTTATTTATGACTCAACCTAAGAGAATCGTAAACAATATCAAAACAATGTATGAAGGTAACTTCTAAAAGCATCTTCAGATCGGTTTCTATGGTTGCTGCCATGCTTATATTTTGTTGTCGCATCACAGCTTCCATAGAAATGCCTGTAGCTTTGTGCAGTATTTATCGGAACTTAATAAATAGACATCTTTGAATTGTGACAAAGTTAAAAACCTTTTCATATAGCCGTTTTGTTTCAAAATTATTTGCAAATGATTTTCGCAGTTACTTTTACCGTTTCAGAATTTTAACAGTTCCTTGTAAATGGATCGACTTGCGTCAAAAATCTGACGTTGATTCTTTATAATGTGGATTCTTTTCTTTTTTAAATCACAAATATCATATGATCGATTCTTGTAAATATTAATTAACTATGATAAATCATCCATTTAGAAAAGTCAATAAATTTCTCCACAAAATATATTATTGGAAACTCTAAAGATTTGTCATCAAGTCAAAAGGTTATAAAAGCAAATACTTAAAACACCAAGGCGCTGGTGTTTAATTTTTAGGTATGGCTATTTTAATTAAAGTTTTTTTTCCAAGAAACCATTTCTCAGATAGAGCTAAATATATTCCTAGTCAGTTGATAGAAATTTATTCTCTCCTTTCCACCTTTTTATCGATTATATCAAAATTAATTTTACTTTATAGCCATATCTCATTAGAAGAATGTTTAGTGTTGACTCTTAGATCAGATCAAGTAATAAAATATATGAACTAGAAATAATATGAGATATATGGTGTACTTCTTCATGGCTCTCCACAATTTCCTGTTCTTTTTAGTTCTTAATAAATTTTGACTTTTTGTTATCTCTCCTAAACCTTGTTCTGCCATCCATTTAACCAAGCTGGCTACGTAGGTTATGCATTTCCCCCCCCCTCCGTCCCTCTTGGCTTCCTTATAACTTGCCAGTATTAAATGTTAGTTTAGTCGCTTCTCGTTTTCCTTTTGTAGGAGTTCTGTTTGTTTCCATTCTATCTCTGCTATTAGTACTGTCATCTGCATATCTTATATTTACTAAGATTGTGGCTGCCAACAATGAGTACTCGTAGAACTTCTTTCAGGATCGCCTTACTATAGAGGTTGAAGAAATCCAGTGAGAAGACACAACCTCGTCTCACGCTCCTTTCTATTTTTGTGAATATACTGAATTTGTTTTCTCCCAGTTCCTTTGAATTATTCTAACAATTTTCCTAAATAAATCGAGCTTATTTAATAAATCTAACATTTGGGTCGTGCCTAATCAATCGCTTTTGCATAATCTATAAAACATTTTTCTGCATTTGTATTGATCTTTCTCATATACTTCTGATCATAAACATTACATTCCTCGTTCTAGTGTCGTTAACGGAACTACAGTGTTCTTGTCCTTTTTCAAGTCTAATTATGCTACGCATTCCATTCATCAGATTTCAGATAAGTATTATGATGTTGTTGGGGGTTAGTGAATGTGTTTGGTTAAATCAGAAGGAATTTTTAGGTGTCGTGTTCGTTAACATTCATCCACAACAAATAATAAACGAATATATAGAACAGGTCATGCAAAGCAGAGTTAAAAAACAAAGACAAATACACAACAATACGGTAATTTATATACAATTTGAATATATACAAATGAGTTATGAATTGGTGATTTGTTGTATGTTGATGTAATAAGACATGTAGCACATTAGACTGATTAACTTGCGTTAATTTTCTACTGGCTTCTTAGGCAACGCTATGAAACTGGATCAACTTGGGTCCTTCCCGTATATCACCACTATCGTATACATTATTTATTATTTCTGTAAGTTTATTATTGCCCAAATATATATCTATTACAATTCCATCTGGTTCTGCTGCTTTGTTCCTGTTCGACTTGGAAGGTGATGATTTCACTTCAGATTTTAATATTTCTTGTCCTTCCATATTTTTATGTGTTGCAGACTTTCCTCTTTCGTCGTGGAAGTTTTCTCCGATGTGTTCGTTTCATCCTTGAAGTTCTTTTACTATTATCAAAAGTATTAACGTAAGAACTCTGATCATTCTTTTAATCTGCTTACCATATTGATGACATACATGGTGTAAATCGTTCAGAAATATCTACACTATCAGCATCTGTATACAACAGTTTTTTCAAATGAATGATTTAAAACGGGCTTCAATTGAATGAGCCCGAGGCTTCGGGAGGACTGCACTTTGTCGGATCTCTTAGACTGACAAATAAAGAACTTTACTGATTATCAAAAACCCTATCGCTTTAGTCCTTCCAAAAGCTGTAACAATTAAAATGGTTAGTAACTCGAAGACGCAATGGTATTATTAAAATGTTGATTTTTTTTTTCCACGCCGTCTTAAACAAAATTTTAAAAAGGAAGTCGCCATAATAAGAGCGATGACAGCTAATGGACTTGAGAAACGTATTTTCCTGAAAACATGTCTTAATAGAAAGATTTTATAAATTATAAGCGACAACAATGCTTCAGTTTTTCTCAACCATTTTAATCAACGGCACACCTAGGCACAAATGAAAATCTCACGTCACATTTAAAATTTTTAAATGGCATACATTTAGATGTTATAAAATTAAACCATGAATTTTAAAACGATACTCACACAAATATGAACTTACTTTATTTCAATATTTCTATTCAACTATTTGTTCAGCTTATTTAGTGTGAAACTTGTGCCTGGAGTTTGTGTTTTTTTTTTTTTTTTTTTTTGTTTTGTTTTTTTGTTTTGTTTTTTGTTTTTTTTCGCGATTTCTTCAATCTTTTGTCGAATGGGCAATAAGTAGACCTTCATTTCTTCTTCCATTGAGCGTAGTCTTACTCGCCTATTTTTTTATATTATTTAGGTTTGAGGAGCATAATTCACATAAATAAGTAGAAAATTACAATAAAACTGATAAAACCTATTTAGCTAATGTGAGATTCTTTTTGTATTAAAATCCTTTTATATCATTAGGTACCATCGAATGTTTTATTTTGAGCCCTCCATCACTAGAAATAGTGACCAATTCTTCTTCACATAACTGAAGTTCAATATTAGAAGGAACATAGTGAAAAGAATTATTTGAAAAATGTTTAATACTTATTCATTTATTCAAATACTAACTCTGTATCATTGCTACTTCCACACGCACACACATGTATGAAGTGACAGTATTTCGCGGCACACTTTAGATGATCACGAGGCACATTAGTGTGCCGCGGCACGGCGGTTTAGAATCACTGTGCTTAATGATGGCTCATAGATTCTGAATGTTTCCTGAAGGGAAACTGCTGATCTTACCATTATCATCTATGTATACATTTTGATCATGCACGGATGTTCTACTAATTACTGTCAAACCGACATTTTCATAACAGGCAGAGCGCACAAATACTAAACTGGAACTATGTTGAAGTGCGTATTTAATCCTGTTATTTTTTACGGGTATTCTGCTAGTGATTAGATACTTTATTTCATACATTTTATTTTTGTTGGTTCGTACGAATATGCAAGTAAATAATATTAGCTTAACCTTCTTCCGTGTTTGGCTAGTGTTTTTGACATGTTCACATACGAGAAAAGTAAATTGATTCGCTTATGAAGATTTTGCAGCTGTGGCGATTTAAAAGGAAAATGTTTTAAAATGAAATTAATGTTTCATGCATTCTTTAGAGTAAGTTAATATAAACTTTATAGTAAGAAATCGGTACGAAATGTTACTATGAATAGGATAATGGAAAGCAATAAGTTTTTCCTTGGACTCTCTCTCTTTTCTCTCTCACACACACACACACATATATATATATATATATATATGCACATATATATATGATCACATATATTATCATCAACATCCATTGCGAGACCACTGTACAAAAATGTCCTTTTCAACCGACCGTAACCATTTCTATATTTTGACATATTACCAGCAAAACTCTCTATCTCATCTCTTCAGCTTGTCTTCGGTCTTTTTCCTTCTCGCTATGTGTCCCTTTTGTCATGTTTCGCTGCTTCTATCATATCTCTTAAGCTGATCAGTTCTCAGATCTTTATTTGTCCTCTATCTCTCTCTCTATTTATTTTTATTACTTGCCATAAGCAGATAAATTTATGGATTTCTTTTAGGTTTACACGCTTTATCTTTTTGGGAACGTTACAAGTCAAAATTACTTTTGTTTTTAGAATTATCTATCATATATAAAAAAAAAATCGATTCTCCTGTCGGGTTCGACGTATGAGGGTCAAGCAGATCAGTTTCCAGGAAACTGACAGCCCGACACCGGCACATGAGATTCGATTATAGTGGTGAAGGTTTCGTGCAGGACCATCCACACTTTTTGAAGGACCGAATACAGAGACCTGGTGCACTACGTGCCACAAGGTTCCCAAACAACCCTCCGCAGGTTTTGAATTCAGAGTTGTCCTTCTCCTAGACCAGTTGCCATCCAAGGCTATAGAACCCAGTCTGTCCTGCTATTTTACCCATAGCTCGAGGGAGAAGAAGAGGATTCACACCTTTCCCAAGGGTATTAGCACGTAAGTGAATGTAATGGATTCAACCTGGATTCGAACTCGCCCCTGCGATTCCTCAATCCATTACTCCACTGTGCCTCCTCGTTATATATATATATATATGAAAGTGGCTTATCGGGGCTAATAATATTGCCGATTCTTCTTTGGGTTGTATCAAGGAGTTCTAGATAAATAGCAGGACCACCAGACCATATACGGCAGTAATATTTTAAGCATGGACGAATGGTTAACTTATAGATTCTGGAGAGAACAATCGTCTAGCTCAACACAGTGGCCCGATCTTCCTAGCAATGGATTCAATATAGTTTTTTCGCATCAGCCATGTATGTTGATAGAAAGTAGAGAGCGTTCTCTCGGTATGTTTTAAAATGGGCAGTTTAATTTCGGAGGCATTTAAATTAGCAAGCCATTCTTTGCTCCAGTTAACAACAGAGTGAAGGCCGTTTTTTGATATCATCTGTTATTTTGACCTTATCAGACTGACCAGACTTATCATCTAGACAGTGTTAAATGTCTGTATCATTAGCATAGATACCAAGTTGAGAGCTGATGCCATCGGTAAGGTCATTAATGAAAATCAAAAACAAAATAGGGCCAAGGATGGAGCCCTAGGGTACGCTTGCATTAGTACGGAAAAAACTAGAAGAGTTAACGTTCAGGATTACTGATATGTTTATTAAGACATAGGTTTCAATATAGGATAGAGTAGGAGAAAATGAATGAAATTTTAAAACAAAAACAAAATATCGGTTGTTTGCTTGAAATAATCTTAATGAACACTGTTATCACTGCTTTCAAGTACGCGGGTGATCTTGATACACTGCAGATTTTGGACCATAGATAAAATTCTGGAGGATTTAGACCCGGCTAGAAATGGGGGCCAGAATCTTTGGAAATAATGCGGTCTGTAAAAATTTCTCCCAAAACTACATAGACCTGTGACATGTGTGGGCAGTAGTCCTGTTGAAATCTTGAGTAACTGACTTCCTCATCTGTTATTTTGACCTTATCAGACTGACCAGACTTATCATCTAGACAGTGTTAAATGTCTGTATCATTAGCATAGATACCAAGTTGAGAGCTGATGCCATCGGGAAGGTCATTAATGAAAATCAAAAACAAAATAGGGCTAAGGATGGAGCCCTAGGGGACATCTGCATTAGGTCAAATGAATTTCAGAACAATAGCACTCGTTGTTTTTGTGTTCGTAAAGACAATAGAGCCAATAATTTGACGTCTGGAAAACGCAACCAACGCTTATCCTTCAGATCATGTCCGGGTGTTTCATGCAGACAGTAAGGATTATTGGGAAACTACAATCTTGTGTTTTGCGAATTAACGTAACCCGAGAGATGGAAACATACCTCGTCGCGATAAAAAAAAAAAACATCCCCACATTAGCAGTATTCTCTTTGATAAATCGGTTGAACCTTCTGCAATAGCGCAGTCGTTTTCATGATCAGTTCAGTTCTTCTACTGCCATTATTTTGCATGAGAAGTCTTTTAATTTTTGTATGAATACCTTATGAGCAGTTCCAAGACCAATGTATCTTGCTACTGTGCAAACTTTCTCAATAAAGGAATTTCATCGATAAAACCTCCATGTGTGATCGTTGCTCGGGGTTAAATTGTCTCAGTGTTTTAGATATTCACTAAATTTCCTATGTTCATAATAACTTTCAAATAGTATGGCATTGTTCACAAATCTAATAATCAAACAAAAACAGGGATGAAGCGTCAGAGCTTGATTCAACTGCAAGAGTTTACTTTCTTAATTTTTTTTTTCTTGGACTCTGTGGCATACTGTCATAAATATCCAATAGTTTCTCCTTCGATAACTTTGCTTGACTTCCATAACATCAGGCATCGTCCACTGATCCTGGTTCCCGAAATTTGTCAACAACTGCATTGCGATATGGAACAGGTGTATCTGAAAAATTATTAGCAAAACGTTGTCGCAACAAATCTGTATCTACCAAATGCTTGAAGTGCGTATTCGATGAGAAATATACGTTCTTCATTGTTAAAACCATATTGGAATGAAATTCGAATACAAATGTGATTAGAAAAGTTCACAGTAACTTTCCGACCACCCTGTACTATGTATTTTAATTAAATATATAATGAGAGAGATTTGATCAGCCTTTTAGAGGTTAGTTGAAGAAAATATCTTTTTAGAGTGTAAGAAATTTTTTGGAGATGATAATAATTTCCAGATCCAAATTAAACGAAATCTAGGGATGGGAGAACGATTTGGCTTCATACCATTCAGAACAGTATTTGCACGTAAGTGAATATAACGAACAGGGATGGAATCGGAACTCGGCTTTCGAATTCCAATTCCGAGCTGTTATCCATTTTACCATCCATACATCCAAGCTTACAGCACCTGGAATTCCCAAACGGTCACCCATCTAGGTACTAACCAGACTCGACGTTGCTTAACTTCGGTTATGTTTTTGTTATCCTTAAATAATAATATACATATAAAATATATTTTATACACATACTATAATATACACAGAGGGCTGCAAATATAGATATACATATACTACCAGTATTTTATTGATACGTTTGTATAATCAATACAATATGTTTTGTGGGCACGTTTTGCTTTTCATTACTGTATACATACTTTTGCATACTACTGTACATTGTTTTGTATATATATATATATATATATATATATATATATATATATATATATATATATATATATATATATATATATATATGAGTATCACCACCCTCACATTTCTTCAAATATTTAAGTATATCTCTTCATGGGACAGCACTGAAAAAATTACCTTTTGACACAATGAAAAGTCTGTCTGCAACATATATAACAGAGTTAATTTCTTTTCCCCCAAAAATAACTCAAAATATAGCCATTAAAAAGCTAAATCCCCAAAAGTGGCAACAAAAAGTGAGTACACCCTAAGAAACTACACCCTAAATGTCTAAATTGAGTACTGCTTTTCATTTTCCCTCCAAAATGTCATTTGTCTCATTAGTGTAACTATGCCCATGTGTTCATGGGGGAGCAGGTGTATTCAAATTTGTTGTGCAGCTCTAACACTCTCTCTTACCGGTCACTGAAAGTTCCAACATGGCACCACATGGCAAAGACACTCTCTGAAAACTTATTGTTGCACTACATAAAGATAGCCAAGGCTACAAGAATATTGCCAACACCCTGAAACTGAGCTGCAGCACAGTGGCTAAGATCATCCAGCATTTTGAAAGAGCAGGGTCCACTCAGAACAGGCTTCGGGTAGGTCGTCCAAAGAAGCTGAGCGCACGTGCTGAGAGTCACATCCAAATGCTTTCTTTGAAAGATCAGCGTAGGAGTGCTGTTAGCATTGCTGCAGAGATTAAAGAGATTGGGATTCAGCCTGTTATTGTTCATACCATATGCCGCACACTACATCAAATTGGTGTGCATGGCTGTCACCCCAGGAGGAAGCCTCTTCTGAAGGCAATACACAAGAAAGCCCGCAAACAGTTTGTTGAAGACATGTCAACAAAGCCCATAGATTACTGGAACCATGTCCTATGGTCTGATGAGACGAAATTTAATTTGTTTGGTTCTGATGGCCTTAAGCATGTGTGGCGGCGACCAGGTGAGGAGTACAAAGATAAGTGTGTCATGCCTACAGTCAAGCATAGTGGTGGAAATGTCATGCTCTGGGGCTGCATGAGTGCTGCAGGTATTGGAGAGTTACATTTCATTGAGGGAAACATGAAGTCCAACATGTACTATGAAATACTGCAGCAGAGCATGATCCCCTCCCTCCAGAAACTGGGTCGCAGAGCAGTGTTCCAGCATGACAATGACACCAAATACACATCCAAGACAACCACTGCTTTACTGAAGAGGCTGGGGGTAAAGGTGATGGACTGGCCAAGCATGTCTCCAGACTTGAACCCAATAGAACATCTTTGGACCATCCTCAAGCAGAAGGTGGAGGTGCGCAGAGTCTCAAATATCCGCCAGCTCCGCGACGTCGTCATTGAGGAGTGGAAGAGCATTCAATGACTATCTGTGAAGCTCTTCTCTATGCCCATCTGTTTTGGATAATCTGGTAAACACTAAATATTGACAGTTGACATGTTGTATGTTAATATTGACAACTTTTCTTAATGGGTGTGTTACAGCCAATTTAGCATGGATAGAACAGAAGGTTATTTTTAAAAAAGAAATTAACTCTTATATATGCTGCAGACAGGCTACTTTTCATTGTCAAAAGAATTTTTTTCAGTGCTGTCCCATGAAACTATTTGAAGGGGTGTCAGTGCTACACTGTATTCGAACGTCAGTATGCAAAAAAGTTTTAGCCCAAATCATACCATTTTGAACCGCTCCGTGGGCCTCTGAACACGCAATTTGAAATTTTTAGATTCCCAAGCATTATGTCGAATGTTTTAGGCAATTTTTTTATGACGACTTTTTTTCATATATATATATATATATATATATATATATATATATATATATATATATTCCTATATTGTACTTTTAAACAATCTAAATTCATTTCGATGTTTTTTAAGCTTTATATATATATATATATATTATATATATATATATATATATATAATGTATGTAATTTGTGTCTGTCTTTTTACTATTCCTCTCAGTTTCCATTCTGTTATCCAAACAACCTCGTTAGGTGGGTTATAGCTGTTTAGCTGTCTTTTTGATAAAAATGCTTCTTTCTGTGGTTTTTTATTCGTTTGGCTTATTGCTGTTCTATCCATGCAATTCTGTAACACCACATATCCTTGCCTCAATCTTCTTCATCATCTGAGAAAATTGTCCAGGACTTCGAAAACCACACTTTTGGAAAGTCTCTTTCTCTGCATGACCCTTCAGATTTGCACATTTTTTTTATGTGTTTGCTTTCTAACGACATGTTGAATATATTCTGCTTTCTTAAAATCGGATAAATAAACCTACCCCTCAAGTTTTTCCGCTTGCATTTTTTGGTATACTAAGTAGGTATTTCCTTTGAAAAAAAACCCCCTTTTTTTTTTTTGCTCGGGTTAGATTTTTTTCTATGTTCAATTTTTCAAATAGTATGGCATTGTTCTCAAATCTAATAATCAAACAAAAACAGGGATGAAGTCAATGTCGTAAAAGCAAAACTATCAAAGCTCTCTTCGGAAACATAAAACTTAAATTCATGCAGGGAATTTATGTGTTATATGTAATTTGCATAGCAAATTTGGAAAGCATCAGATGAAAAACGGAGTTATGACGGGGCTTTTAACTGTTTTTGTGGTTTTCGTTATACAAAGAACATCCACACTCTCATCATCACATTTTGCGACATGTTGAAAAATAAATATTGTTTTTTATTTTAAGTATGAAAAAACTTTTTTGCAATTTTTTTGTTTTTCGTCGTAAAACTATCAAGCTCTCAAATAAACTTCGTAACATGAGCTGATGTTTTGCATTAAGTACCAGCTCATCCAGTAAAAAATTTGTTCGCCTTTTTTTGCAAAAGCCAAATCCACCTGGTTTATCGAAAAATCTTGAACTAAAAAGTTGGTCATGGCCTATTAGTAAATTTCAAACATGTATCTACAATTTCATTGACATTGGTTGAGAAATGGGGACGTGCATAAATATCATACACACATTTTCTGTTTCATAGATATAGATGGTAAGGCTTATGGTTTATCTTCCTGTTTTCCTTCCTTACTTTGTCTAAGAGTTCGTTCAGTTTTGTTTTTGTGTTTTCTAGCAACACTGTGTTATCTGCGCATCTTGTGTTATCATTGTGACCACCATTAATAGGCATGACTTCTATTTCTCTTGCGATTGCCTCGATGTAAAGGTTAAATAAGTTGGATGATGAAACGCTTCCTTGTTTTATAACCCTTTCTATTTTTTTGTACTAAACAAAGCATCTATATGTTTAGACTAACTGTTCAGTCTTACGTTGGACCTTCATACATTGGAATCAATGGGCGAACCACACACACACACACATATATATATATATATATATATATATATATATATATATATAAAAAGAGAGACACTAAGTCGCAACATTCAGTTTCATGCTTCAACAAAATCTTTAGACCATCTTCATTTTGGCGCGAAGATTGCGTTCAAGCATGAAACAGATTGTCGCCGCTTGATGTTGGCCTCAGTGTCCACTTTTGTATTTACAAACGCTCTATCTCTGATATGGAGCCCTTTTAGCCATAAATATAGCATATTTCAAAACTGTATTTTTATCACATATATATATATATATATATATATATATATATATATATATATATATATATATATGTGTGTGTGTACGTGTTTTACATATATATAATTTATTTCTTAAACGTTATTTTTAATGGATATCCATATTTGAGTGGATGCTCTGTTTTTATTTATTTATTGAACAGTATATTTATTTATTTCCATCTATCGGTCCGAATATTCGAGAAATCTTATCAGAAAAATATGCGCTCTCAGGTCTATAAATGGAAATGGTGTTGGGCAAAACTACATTTAGCACAGCGTATTCTATATTCAATTTCCTTATCTCCTATACTAAACTTGTTATAACTAATTCATACAGTGAGTTACTTGAAGTGTTTAGTAATTATTAATTCCACGTACTTAATTTTTATGATGGATTCTGAGTAGGTGCCATCAATGTTTTTCATTCCAATTCCAGGTTATAGTTTCTGTTTTGGAAAGGTTTCTGTTTCATATAGATGGTAAGGCCTATCTTCCTGTTTTCCTTCCTTACCTTGTCTAAGAGTTCGTTCAGTTCTTTGTTTTTGGGTTCGACTGAATATTCCAATGATTAAATTCTGGCATCTATTTTCAGAAGATTGATGTTAATTTCAAGATCTATGTTTGGCCATAAAAAGTAGTCTCGTCGCCGAGCGACAGCTCACTGGCAGAGTATTAAACAGGAGGGATCAAATGCTTTGCTGCCATATGTAGTTTATCGTCATACCTAGGAAGGTTCTGATTTTGCAAGTAATAGTATCTTTTATTATTTAGTAGTGTTAGCTTCTTTTTTCTTTTTTTTCTTTTTTTTTTTTTTTTTTTTTTTTTTCTTTTTTTTTTTTTTTTTCTTTTTTTCTTTTTTTTTTTTTTTTTTTTTTCTTTTTCTTTTTCTTTTTCTTTTTCTTTTTCTTTTCTTTCTTTTCTTTTTTTTTCTTTTCTCTTTCTTTCTTTTCTTTTTTTTCTTTTCTTTTTTCTTTCTTTCTCTTTTCTTTCTTTCTCTTTTCTTTTCTTTCTCTTTTCTTTCTCTTTCTCTTTTCTTTTTTCTTTCTCTTTCTTTTCTTTCTTTTTCTTTCTCTTTCTTTTTCTTTTTCTTTTCTTTCTCTTTTCTCTTTTCTTTCACTTCTTTCTCTTTTTTATTTTCTTTCACTCTTTTTTCTTTTCTTTCACTCTTTTTTCTTTTCTTTCACTCTTTTTTCTTTTCTTTCACTCTTTTGTCTGTTATAACGATAATAGTTTCGTTGCTGAATCCAAATCCAAAATATTGTCTTTTATTGCGTTGTCTAAATAATCATAGCAAGGAAAATGCTTAAGTTACTTACTTTTAAGTTAACTGTAGCTGCTACAGATATTTACTTAGTTTAGTTTGATACGAGGACTTGTCTATGAACTGTTCAATGAGGATTGTTTTCCTTTCACTAATAAACTGACCTAAAAGACAAGATTCCTAATCATCATCCCAGGATCATATGTGCTACGTTCCTTCAATGCTTAGATGATCATGACTCTCCATAACTTCTTGTTGATCATTTTACTATCAGCAGGTAACCTCTACGGGTCATTTAATGCCAAAATCTAAATATTTTGAAGACTTTTATGGCTTCATCAAAATATATTTTGAACGCCACTCTATGCCTTCAACTATATATAAAATGTATTGTTGGTAAATCTTTTTTATATAACCGTGAACTGTTGCTATTTTTACTATAAAAAAATGTATTTTTATACTTTCATAATGTTTTGTTTTTGTCTATTTGCCCATAACTAGGACCCTAACAGGTGCTACCACCCCGGGTCAGGGTGGACGTTGGAACAACAGCAATTAAAAGGTGGTTCCGCGCTTCTCAGAGCCTCCAATCTCGTGATCAGATCTTTGCTGCCGCATGTAGTTTATCGTCATACCTAGGAATATTCTGATTTTGCAAGTAATAGTATCTTTTATTATTTAGTAGTGTTAGCTTCTTTTTTCTTTCTTTTTTCTTTTTTTGCCAGGCTACAGGTGTGGAGCATACGCGAGGGCCGAAACTGAGACAATAGCAATGGTTTGCGAAATGTTTTTGTTAATAACTATTCAAGAGTTAAGATCCCAGTTATAACATCTGTACGATAACCAGCATTTCACTTACATGGACTTTATTAACATAATTAAAAGGAAGTAAAATAAATAATTTCACATGACCCGAAATTAAATAAAAATGTCTGAACAAAAAAAAAACAGAATCCGTTGCTAAATCTAACGGAAAACTTTTTTTGTGATTATTTTGCAATCTTTGCCGTCTGATTATCAGCTAGCTCTTTCTATCATTTGTTGTGTATTTTTATTTTTTTAATAGGTGGGGATGGTGGTCGGGAACAGGCGTTCTTTCTTCATCTCAATCTATCTTTTGTCCGTGTATCTTTAATAATTCATTCTTGTTATTATTTTTGGGTTCGACTGAATATTCCAATGATTAAATTCTGGCATCTATTTTCAGAAGATTGATGTTAACTTCAAGATCTATGTTTGGCCATAACAAGTAGTCTCGTCGCCGAGCGACAGCTCACTGGCAGAGTATTAAACAGGAGGGCGCAAAGTTCAATTTTAATGCAATTATTCACAATTCTTTCAGTAAATATGCAAAGCAGACTTAAGCGTCAATACCAACGTTACCAACAACACGTTTGCTGAGTCTGATACTTGTCACAGTTATCTTGTCCTTTAAATGGATACACGAACAGCAGAGATATGATTATCTCCAGGTGTATGCGTATGTTTCGACTTTTCTTTTGCACTCTTTTTATGCGTCGGGATTGGCCAACTTTAACACAAAACTATATTATTATGCAATAATCAAACTCACGATGACGTGCGAAGTTAACACTGCGTTACAACCCAGTTGCTGGGTTTGTTAAATATGTGTGGGTTGCCCTAGTAGTGTTTGTCGTTGGTACGGACATTTACTCAACAAATATTTACAGTAAAAAAAAATATAAAAACGGCTATGGTGAAGTCGGAAAACGTAAATTATGATTTTATTTTCTAGAAAAAGAATGCGCTAACAAAGTATAAAAATGTGTTATGGGATTTCTCTCCAAACCTGGAAAGGATAGTTTGTGGGTGTTACGAAAGTAGTCTTTACTCACAAATCCAGATCGTCATGTTGCAAGAAGCTGTATTTTTCCCACGTTGCCAGGAATGCATCTTCTATTCGCGATAGAGCGAGAGGAAAAAGAGGTGCAGCCGTATCGTGTTTATATATATATATATATATAGTCTTCCTTCTAAGAAATTCACCTACATTTACCTTAAGCCGTGCACAAAAGCTGAAAATGACCAGAATAAAACATATAATTCCTTATTCTCTTATTTATGATTGTCAGACCCGACTGCGACAATCGAGAATATGTGTGATTTGTTCTGGTAGACTCCGGAGAATTTTAGAATTGACAGTCACCAGAACTGAAAAAAAAATGTGCTGACCAAACAAATTGCAGTACAGGAATCGTAACTTTATTTCGCTGCGATGAGCTAACTTCTGGAGATCTTTTCCTTGTTGAATTTATTTGATCGTATTTGACTTTTCTTTGTGATCTGATGGATTGAGTTCGGCTTTAAAAATTAGGAAATTGAAAATGCTCTTATTGATAAAAACGCGCGAATTTGGTCATTCAAGTGTGGTTTAGTAAAGCCTCAAATAATGGCGAAGGCTGCGTTTTAATATGTTAAGATTGTGAGTGGATGATAAATATACGAATACTTAGATACATTCTTTTAATTCTGTTTTACAAGTGATGAAATTGGAGGTACAATATAGTCATATTGAGAGTGCGTGGTCTCGATGAATCACTGTATTGATATTCATGGTTTGTGTCGATGTGTGTATGTAAAAATGCCTGACTAGTTTCAAGACATTGTCACTAATGATTAGTCTAGTATTTAAGAACTCAGAACAGCTCCGGAAAATGATCTTTCGCATGACTTCCAATAATAATTTAAGATAATTTTTCCGCTTATTTTTACTAGGTATTCTAACTTGCTGATACCATCTTATCTGTATGTAAAACTGTTTTGGTCGTTTGATTTTCGCTTTTCCATGAACGTAAATGGTCGTTACAAGTAAAACTAAGTGGATAATAAAGCAATTTATTTTTGTCATTTTCTTTCGTTTTTTTTTCTGTTTTTTTTTCTTTTTTTTTCTTTCTTCCTGCAGACAAATTCGTTAAAATGCTGACAATGGCTTAACCTTATTTATTTGAATTTCCATACACAACATGCGTCATAGACGAACTTCTGATCGGAACACAAATAAAAAAAATAAGAGATTTTCACAACAGTCAGGCTATAAAGAAGTAACAGCGCAAAAAAAAATGCAACTTACTGCGCAAACAAAAATTGTTCGTACAAAGAAATTAAATGCGTATAGTTTAGAATTAATCTACTTGCTTTTGTTTTAAAGTACTTTACCCGTAGCATTTAAACGATATTTCAACATCAATTTTCAAGATTATATCAAAATAGTCTATACTCATTTTCAAAGGAATTAGTTTAAAATTCTCTTCTCATTGCGCCAAAATTGAAAATGTTTAAGTATATCAGGGTAATAAAAGGTGTTGGAATTTTAAATTATAAAATCCGACTTCAAGGTTCAAGCAAAAAATTCCAAAAATGGTTTACTCAGATTGCTCGATTATACCACCTCCGCAACAGTTCATTTTCCTGAAGTGGAGATCTAGTCAAGCAGAAACTATTGTCAATTTACCTGACAGCATTGTATAATTCCGAACTATGAATTTACTTTTTTTGTTTACACTTTGGGTCGATACACACAACAATAAAAATAAAAAGGAATTAATAAATAACAAAAAAATAAAATAACGTCCTAATGCTACAACAGGCATGACCGTCGTGATTTCTGATTTTGATGAATTGAAGGTATTTTATCATGTATATGTTTTGTCTTGGGGAAATAAGATGGGCGACTGTAAATATCCCGCCCACTACCATAAAATTACTCGTCAGTTGCCTAACCTTAAAGAGTTGCACTGTGCATCTCCATTCATGTGCTGGAGTGATAGGAGCGCATCATGACCGGTTGTCGAGGGGGGAGGGGTTCTATTTTATGCTTGACGGACTAGGCAGCCAAGGTTACTTGGGAGTCAGAGCTAGGTACTTGGAAACAGTCTCAACCGGAGACGGTTTAAGTGGACTAGATTACCCGTCATGAAGATCTTTTAACCGGTCTTCAACAGCAAGGTTGTTTGCTACATTTATCAAAGCCTGTCAACATAAGGTGGACACTTCTATGTGCTTGCTACAACCTTATCAAACTGGGTGTTATAATCAATGTACTGGGCTTCGTATATTTGTAACCAGGTATATTTTCTTGGTGTGTTGCTCATTCATTCTTTATCACCAAATAATATCAAGTAAACATTGAGATTGATAGATACATAAAACAAAACTGTTCATCTGAAGTTAAACGGAAGGTCAAGTGAAAATCGAAAACTAAAGAAAAAGATACTAACAAAAAAAAGCGTTAGTTGTTTCTTTTGGAAGAAACACAATTTGTTGAAATGTGCTTTCATTTGACTTGAGTACTTACTTTAAGCTGTCAAGGCCTAACAGTAGAGTTTGCGATAATCCCACTTATTTGCCAAAGTACTTCTGCTAACGGCCCTCATTTACGTGCAAATACTCTTGGGGAAAGTATGAATTTATCTTGTCTAGCAGCTATGGGTTAAATAATAGGAATCCTATCGGGAAAAATTATTGCTATTCTCAAAACATGTTAAATGTTGTTAATGTAATATTCATTCGCAAATTATTATTACAAAAATCTAAATTATCTTTCAGTTTTAAATAACTCTGAAAGGGTTGATGAGCAGTAAAAAAAAAAAAAAAAAAACAAGTCACTCAACCTGCTAATGGCCGCTAGATAGCGTTGCGAAAGTAGTATATAATAAAAGGGCGCAAATGTTTCTCTTTATTTCTCTCATGTCGACCAGGCCCATGCGTAGAATTTAAGACCAATGCTACTGTCTCCCCGGAAATACGCCGCTCTCTCAAGATGGAAATAGGGTTATTTACCTGTTGCTTGAAGCGTCCTCAGATTTGAAGTCTGACATTTTTTTTATTCTGGTCATACGAACAAATACCCTTTGTTCAGTTTTCCTGCAGGATACGTTATTTCCCCCGTCCCTCTACGGAAACCTTTTAGTCTCCGTTGAACCTCGTGTTGCATTGAATACAACACAGCATAGTACACTGCATAAAATGATCTAAGATCTTTCTCTACTAC